CATGCTGTGTGTGGTAGTGGGTGCTAAAGTTGCAGAGGCAGAGAGGAATGATCCTTGAAAACAGGGGCACTGGCTGTGCACACAAAGAAGCACGTGGGACAGCTTCTCACAGTCCAGGAAAACCTCTCAAAGAAAAGGGTCACGTGGGTGGATGAGCAAAGCCAAGAGGCGAATGCCACTGGCCTGTCTCGGCCTCCGTAGCCCTGTCAGCCAGCTGGGGGCTCAGGGTTAGATGCTAAGCTACACTATGGAGGAACCAGCTCAGGATGTATGGACAGATGGATGCACACATGGACAGATGGATGGATAGGCCAACAGATGATGAATGCTGATACCACGGCACACAGCACAAGGGCCCTGGAGAAAAGAACCAAGTATTCTGGAATCTGCCAGTCCCTGCTAGTTGTTGGTTTTGATTTCCTAGAGGCCTTTTTAAGGTTAAGTGGCTTGGAGACTGGAAATTGGTTCAGAAGCTTGACTTAGAGACTGTCCTGCTGTTAAAAATCTGCTTAAGAATGTAAACCAGGTACCAGAGTTGGATTTGAGGGTTGGGGAAATGGCTAGTGGGTAAGGTGCTTGCTGGGTAAGCAGGAAGACCTGACGTTGATCCCCAGAGCCCATGTGAAGACTCTGGGCATGTTGCTATGCACTTGTGATCCCAGAACTGGGTGGGCAGAGACAGTCAGATCCCTGGTGTTCTCTGACTGGCAAGTACAGTTGGTGTGCTCCAGGCAAACCATGCAACAAGGCTGATAGCTCCTGAGGAAGAATGACAGTTGAGGTTGAGCTCTGTGCTCCACACGTGTGTGCATATGCACCTGTACTCACATGCTCCCAGAAGAAACCCTTAATCCTCATACTAAAAAGAAACAAAAAGTTAGATTTGAGCCTTTATTTCTCTGATAGCTTAAAGTCTCATGGGAGACTTGGGCCTTAGAGAGGTTTCAGGTGATATCTTTCAAAAGGGCAGTTTGACTGGCCCTACCTACTCGGGACCTCCTGCCAAAGAGAAGAAATCCCTGCTGGGGGTGGCCGAGTCATCTAGCCTTGCTGTGCTTGGCAGATAGTGGAGCGGCTGTGGGGGGTGTTGGAATCATGCAATCTTCCTGTTTAGGTTGTGGGGCACTTTTTTGATGCAGCCTTGGCCTAGGCTTTGTAGAGAAGGAAGGGTTATCTCATTTCAAGTCTAGGGGGTTCTCTCCTGTCCTTTGCCAGCTTCCCCTGTCTTCTCCTTGCCATGGCTCCATCTTCAGTGCTCCCATCTGTCTCTGCTACAAACCTCTGTGCCCCTGTGCTAGAGGTCACCTGACTTCTCTGCCTCCAGACTCTTTTCCATGCTGTCTGGCTATCTTCTTACCTTCCTTTTCAAATCTACTCTCTTTCTTCAAAGGAGCAATACTTTTGAAATAGGTAACTATCAAACTTCCTCAGTTTTTGTTTTGCCAAAACAATAATAAGTAATAATAATACTCTGTTTAATGTAGAGGTACCCTTGTCTCTCAGAAGTCTTTTATAATGTCACAATTGAAGACTGGATGTCACTGGCTTATAGGTGCCGCTGGCTTATAGGTCAACTGGTCTACCGGGCTATGCTTGTTCATTTGGATTTAGCAGAATCTCTGTAACAAAGGACCATATTATAGCTAGCTTCTATTTCTTACAACTTGTTCCATCAAACAATTCAGTAAGGATTTTGAAAAGAGAAGCCAACATCTTTAAAAAGAAGGACGAGGAGAAGAAGGGAGGGATATAAAAAAAGCCCTTCAACCATTCAGTTACACTAATGGCCCTCATTATTGTGGCACAATTACTTATAAATGAAAGGCAGAGGGAAAACCAAGTGTGTTTGGTAGGTGTACTCTCTGTTCTCTGCCTTGTTTTTATGCTCTGAAGTATGGCACCATCTTGACGTAGGGATGTAACCACTATGAATATTGATGGTGTGGCAGCCAAAGCTTTTTTTTTTGGTCTGGCCTACTAAATAAAGCAGAGAAGATGAAAGGGAAGGAATTGTCAAGTCAGTGTGCTGTTTTTAGATTATCTCGTTCTCTTAGAACTAGTAGTCTTGGAAGGATATTGACGATGTACATTTGGTGGTCAGGGCAGCTCTGTGCACAGCAGGTGGGTATTTTCAGAGACTGGGGCCTCTGATTAAAGTCACAGATTCTTGTCTTTGAGCTTTCAGAGGTCACGTTCCTTCCTGACTCTCTACACAGGGCCCAGTGCAGAGCCCGGCTCTGCCCCTCACTGTATTTACTATATTGTATGGGAGGTTGTGTGGTGTGTCTTCTGTGAGGACATCCACCTAGGACGTGGCAAGGAAAGGGTAGGGAAACTGGGGTGCCCACGGCAGCAGCCTGCAGGTCCACTTGTGGCCTGTGGTGGTGCACGTGCCACTCTATGGTGTCTTCAGGGCTGCGTAGCCCAGAGGAGCTGACTGTAGGAAGGAAGGAAGGGGAGGCATGGGAGGGATGACCGAAACGTTGAGGGAGGGGTACACAGGATGAGCCAGCTGAGAATTTAACCTGTTCAGAGGGCCAGAAGTTATGAATGGGTGTGAGTTAGGGCTTTGACATCATAAACTTACTGATTCTGACCAGCTCAAAAGAGAGTTTCTTAGACTGATACCAGTCTAAGATGATGCTCCAGGGATCCAAAGAGCACTGGGGGCAGGCTTAGAATTGGTAGGCGCCAGGACTGACTAGGTAGAGCAGTGAGTGGGGATGCTTGACGCCAAGGCTCATGACCTGAATTCATTCCCCTGAACCCACCTGATAGGAAGAGAGAATTGATGCCTGCTGACTTTTCGTTGGCCTTCACATATATATGTATACACGTGTGTACACACACACACACACACACACACACTCACACACACTCACACATGGGCAGGGGGAAGTTAAGAGCCAAGAATGGTCTAGGGTTAGAGAAGGCAAAGCTGATCAATTGGTGTTCATGTAACCAGTGAGGGGTCAACAGGTTGGGCACTGTCCTGACACACAGGCTGCTGTTGGAGAGTGCCCTGAGGGAAGGTATGGGTGGACAAACCATGAGAGAATTCTGTCCTGGGGCAGGATCCAGCTGTCTGGCAGCTGAGGCCTGCAGCCTGGGAGAAGCTGAGACACTGAAATGCACACAAGCACTGCAGCTTCTGCAGGCACATGTGTGTATAATGTGTGTATAGATATGTCACACTTTCAGGAAGGCAGGCCGGTAGGACTAATCCTGAAATGCACATTTAAAAGACGATTTCCAAAACAAGAAGTTTCTATGCAGAAGCATTTCTTTTAAAAGGCATAAATTAGCATTTATAAATACGCGTCTGCAATTGTGGTCAGGTGTAACAGCAGTGTCTGCCTTCCCCTGTATGAGCAGCGGGAAAGGAAGGGCGCAGGCAGGAGCTGTGGCTGAGACCTTCGGTTTCCACACAAATGGTGAAGTATTCTCCCGCTAACTCGTAATTTCAGAGGCTCTCTGTGTACATGCCTGAAACTCCCGTGTCCTCCACCAGACCAAAGTTTTCAAGAGTACGGCCAGAGTTAGGATGTTTTTCTAATCCTGGCTCCTTCTGTGGTGACTGTCATGTGAAGGAAGAGCTCCCGGTTTCCTGAGCCAAATTTGTTGTAGCCTCCTGTATACTAATGAGTAAAGTTCATGGTTGCAGGGATTGGGCTTCGAAGGATGATGGCAGCAGAGAGCTATAGAGCCCACAGAGAAAAGTTCTCCTTGATTTGTTTGTTTGTTTGTTTTTGAGTAGGTTAAAACTAGAAAATGTTGCTTGGTTCTGTGTGGTACTGTCCATCTTGGTTTCTATTCAAATTGGGGCTATATAAAGAAAACATTTCTCGACAGAGGGCTGGCATTATTGAGACCTGATGATTGAGGCGCCCTTTTCTGCCTGTGAGGTCATGTGGGTTGGAATCACAGAGGTTCTAGCCATCAGGCAATAATACCACAGAGGTATGTGGTGATGAGATGGAAGCAGCCACGGGTACTGAGAAGTGTAATGATCTGTCTTGTCTCTTTAAGAGACAAGCCACCCCCACCCCTGTCACTGAGGCAGGCAGATCTTCCTTTCTGCTGGCTGCCTGAGTTTCTTCCTTTTCCCTCTCCCTCTTGAAGAGGCTGCTTCTGCCTCTCCCCACTTCTCCCATTCCCCCCTCTGTCCCTCCTCCCCTCTGCCTCTCTCTCTCTCTCTCTCTCTCTCTCTCTCTCTCTCTCTCTCCCTCTGCCTCTCTCTCCCTCTCCCTCTGCCTCTCTCTCCCTCTTTCTCTGCCTTTCTGCACATCTCTTCTCCCCCTCCACGGCTTGTCTCTTAAAGAGACAGGAAGGAGGCAAAGCTGTACCCCGGAGGCTGCTTGAGAGTCCATCAGTGGTTTCAGTCAGGAGGAGGAGGCATGCCAGTCACGAGGCAATGTCTTCTGTGTCTGAGCTCACTGCCTTTCACCCTATGGGTGAGAGCAGTAAAATCTAGACTAGAATAGGTACTTGTCCAAGGTTACCTTGCCTCACAGTGACAAATCTGACATGGATTTAAGGTGTCAAAGGAAACCTCACAAAGAAATAAGGCTTAATTTTTATTACATCTTTGTTTTTTCCAGAGGGAATTCTGTTCAAAGTTATTGTTGGGATGTTTGCTCATCCTTGTGCTTTTCTGGGCCTGATCTGGAACTCTCGCGGAAAACGTGCTGTGTTGTGCAAATGTGTGCAAATAGAAAACATGCCCGTTATAGCCTAGGCAGACTCACTGCACAGGCATCAGGGCAGGTGGCAGAATGCAATAATGCAGCCTGGAATGATAGGGTTTAACACATAACTGCTAGTGAGAAATTCAGCATTAAAATGAAAATGCTTTCCCAGCCCAGGTGCAGGGCAGTGGTTTCGGTTCTCATAATAAAATTATCAAGGGAAATGCTTTTGTCTCTTAGCGGCAGATTCTGATCATTGCTTCTCTCTTTCATTCCCCCTTTCACCCTTGGTGCATTTGCTTCTCTTTACAGGAAAAAGTAGAATATGCCTTCCTGATTATTTTTACAGTGGAGACATTTCTGAAGATTATAGCGTATGGATTGTTGCTGCACCCTAACGCTTACGTTAGGAATGGATGGAATTTACTGGATTTTGTTATAGTAATAGTAGGGTAAGTCCCTCTTGCTTTGGGGAAATGTCGGTGGGGACTGGGTGGTAAAGGGTATGCAGCCTTCTTGGGGAAAATGATTGTTCTTAGGCCAAGTGATGGTACCAGTCCTGTCCGGAGTTTCTTTGGTTGGGTGGTTGTTTTCCTGCTGACATGACTGCTCTCAAGGCCTGGGCAGAGTCAGGTGTGAAGCTCTCTCCTGACTGGTGGCGTGGCTGAGGAAGTCTAATGCTAATGAGGGATGATTCACCTCCCAGGGCCTTGAATCTCCACAAATAGACCCTCCCTGCGGGTGGGTGGAGGCAAGTGAACACAGCTCCTGAAACTGCGCCCTGCTAGTTAAAAACGCGGGCATCATATGATAAAGCTTCCTGGCAGCGCGGTCCTTGGCTGTTTAATATCCCTTGAACTAAGCTATTATGCTTTTATGCTGACTTGTGGAAGAAACAACTCTGGCATGCCACTTTCCCATTTTAAATAACAAAACAAGTGTCTGAATGCTGTCACCTGGCTGCCATAAAATAGAAAATAGGCAATGCAGAGAACCAGGTGTTCTTTCAAACCCTGGTGCAAGAGGAGGACGCTGGAAGGTTTAGTTAAAGGAGAATGTTGGTGAGAAAAATAGAGGTCTGTGTTGTTCTGTTCCTTCCGCACCTGGAAATGTTGCCAGCAGAGGAGACACGAATCAGGTCTCTGCAGCAAGTCCCCACCAAGGAAGACAAGGCACAGCCCTGCTCTGGGGCTGTGTTCCCTTGCTGTTCTATGAGTTACTCCTAGAATTATGCTGGTGTCCACCAAGCATAAATAAATAAAGATGTATTTATTTTTACTTGATATGTATGAATCTCTCACCTGCATGTATGTCTGTGTACTACATACATGTCTAGTGCCCACGAGAGCTAGAAGAGGGCCTCGTGTCCCTCAAAGTGGAGTAACAGATGGTGTTGAGCCACTGTGTGGGCGCTGGGAATCAAACACAGGTCCTCCGCGAGAGCAAACTCTTAACTGCTGAGCCCTCTCGCTGTTACGAGAGAGCTTTTAAAATCATCCTTCTGCTTTCCTGTCAGGGACTTGACTCAGCTGTCTTTCGCAGTTGAACAAGCTGAATTATCTTTTGGATTACCTGTTTGCATCATGATTCCTCTGGTTTTTCATTGGAGATGACTGTTTCTGCCTCTTTGGAGAGCAGCTTACGTTTGGAGATGTCCTTTTACACCAGGAAGTAAAGACGGGACCCAGAGCGGTAGCTCAATGGATGCTTAAACTTATCACCAAGAAAGTTAGCTTTTGCAAAACCTCCCATCATACATTGGCATCTAAGCTGCATTGCAGAGATAATATAATATAATAAGATGAGCAGGTGGCAGGTAGGCACGAAAACACCTCCTTTTACTTGGTACACCTGTCAGGGAGTCATAAGAGAGCCTGGGAGGTCTCTTGGTTCAGTAAGAATCGTGTGCCTTTCCGGCCACTGAACTGCTATTCAACTAGAAAATGGAGATGCTAAGCTTCATTTCTTGTGTCCCCATCCTACGATCACCTTGGCTTTTTATTTATTATTTATTTTCCTGGTGGAACAATTTCCCACAACAGCACACCACAGGAACAGGGAACCAAGTTTAGGATATAAAGCTTCAGGAGTCCCGAGAAACATAAAGTGGGGAGGGAGACAACTAATCAGAGAGCACTGGAGAGAGTTCTGTGCCTGCGCCCTGGGGTCTTCTGAAGCTTGGGCTGCATTCCATGAAGTCAAGCAAAGAAGGTGGTTAGGGAAAAGAGAAAGACAGGGAGCAATAGCCACAGCTTGTCTAAGGTTGAAAGATGCTTTTCATCCAAATACCCAGAATAAATTACTGCACTGAACACCCTGACTTGTCTGCAGACAGCCCAGAAGAACCATTAGTAGTGGAGTTAACCTAGATCTAGGGTCGAGTTTAGCAAACTGTGGTCATGGGATCAAATCTTCCTCCATCCAGCCCGCTTTTATAAATAAAGTTTTATTGTAACATAGTCAGCTCATTTGTTGACGTCATTGAGTTGAGGTCTATAAAGCCTTAAAATATTTACTGTCTAGTCCATTACAGAAAAACTCTGTTACCCCTGCTCTAGAATAAAGGCTCCTTGAAGCTTGGATGGCAGTGTTTGAGAAGGAGCCTGAAGGGGAGAGAACTGATAAGCATGTAACTTAACTACCTGAAAAACAAAACAAGACTGTTCAAAGGACAAATAAAATTTAAATACTTAGATGATCATTCTGAGTATCTCACCTGCAGTCAGGTAATACTAGATATATCTTCATTTAGTGTGACCACTAACAGGAGGAGAGCCTCTGACTAAAAACAGACCCGGAAAGTACAGACGTGATGGCAAGGGACTTTATAAGGGTGTAAAAACAGCAACTATGATTGTGTTTATGGACTTAAGGTAATACATGACTACAGTGGAGAAAGATGAACAGTAAAAGAAAAAAAAAGTGGAACTTCATGTTGTGAAAAGTATGGCTGAAATGAGAAGTTCCCAAGATTGGCTCGCGAGTGTATTAGGCAATATCAGAGACAAAAAAAAAAAAAAATTGGGAAACTTAAAGCTAAAACACTAACAATAATAATTAAGGAAAAATGGATAATACCTTACTAACTTGTGAATTAACACACATCCTAACATGTTGTGTTTGGAGTCTCAGAAGAGAAGGCCTGGAGACAGGGCTCAACAGTTCAGAGCCTTTGCTGCTCTTGCAGAGGACCTGGGTTTGGTTCCCAGAGCCCACGTGCCAGCTCTGTAAGCCCAGATCTAGGGGATCCAATGCCCTCTTCTGGTGTCTGTGGAAACCTACATGCATATAGTATACATAAAATTCATATAGGTACACACACATAATAAATACATCAGTAAATCATTTTTAAAAGGGAGAGAGAAAAAAGAAAATCCTTGAGGTAGTAATTCTAACTGTTCCAAGTATCATGGAAAATGAACTCAAATGTTAAATATACTCGACAAAACTTGATTAAAAGCCCACAGAGGAGAGCACATCATAACAACAGTCAAAATGATAAGCAGTAAAAGGTAAAGGGTATCTGAAAACAGAAGAAAAGGCATCTCAAGTCCAAGCCGGAAGACAGTAGATTCATCCTCGGAGTTCTGGGGAAATGTCAACTTAGGGTTCTCATCCAGTAAAGTTCCACCAGAACCCAAGTCAAAATAGAAACCTTTTAAGACAAACCAAAGCTGAGACTTCATGACTGACAGACTTACACCTCCAAAAATGCTAAAAGACAGCTTTTCAGGCTGGAAAAAAAAATGACTTCAAGTACAAATGAAGATCCACACGAAAAAATGAGGAGTTTCAGATAGCACAAATGTAAAGACACTCATTCTCATTTTAAAACCTCTTTAAAGGTGGCTGTCTAAACAGATCCAGTAACAGCATACTGTGCTACTTATACCTTTGGTAGCATCTGACAGTAAATCTGACAGTAGCGGGGGCAGAAAGATCATTGTGGGCTGTTGTCAAGTGTGTAGACAGTACCTAGAATGAGAAGATGCTATGGTTTTTGGTGGTGGTGGTTTTTTTTTTGTCTGTGTTTCTTTTTTGTTTTTGTTTTTTGTTTCTTTGTAACTCCAGGTTTTTTATTTAACAATAACAACAGCAAAAGATTCAAACCATTATTAACCTGGCACAAATTCGTAACATTGTATTTTCTGATGTGAACTGTCAAAGAAATAGCTACCACTGGTTATTATTCAATCACAATAAAACTCCAAGAAAGCACAACAAAAACTCCATGAAATGTATGGTTTATTGGCATCTCTTCAGTTATGTTAGTTAAAAAGGCACTTAAGTATTTGCTGAGTGGCAGACATGATGTCATGTGCCTGAAGCCCCAGCTACTACTTAGGAGGCTGAGGCAAGAGAATCACCTGAGCCCAGAAGTTCCAGTCCAATCTGGGCAATATAACAAGATTTTCTCTCAGAAAGAGTAAAACAGGGGCTGCAGAGATGGTACAAGAGCTCCATATATATTGTGTGTATTTATATACATACACACATACATATTGTGTACACACACACACAAAATATATCTATATTTACATCTATATCTATATAGATATAATTTAAAAAGTGAAACAGGAAGCTGGAGAGATGACTCAGCATTCAGGAATATTTGATGCTGAGAAGATGCTGTTTAAAGACAGATCATAAGCAATTCAAGTGTAGATAGTAAACCTTGGAGCCTAAATTGGCAAAGTGCCAACCCTCTACCCCAGGATCTAGAGACAGACATTTCTACTCTAAGTCTGCTTCTCCACATGAGTTAGGTGTCTTGCTACCTACTTTTGGCAAATAAGGTTTTATTGTAATTCAACTATGCTGTATGTGCGGCTGTTTGGTCTACTTGACTCATTACCTCAGAGATGCTGCAGTCTGCAGATCTTCTGTTGATGGAGGAGGGTTATCTGTCTATTGTGTTATTTTCATTGGTCAATAAAGAGACTGCCTTGGCCCCTTGATAGGACAGAAAATTAGGTAGGCGGAGTAAACAGAACAGAATGCTGGGAAGAGGGCTATGAGGCAGACGCCATGGAGCCAGCCACCAGGTCAGACATGCTGAATCTTTTCCGGTAAGCCACCACAGATAATATATAATCTACTACACAGATTATTAGAAATGGGTTAATCAAGATGTGAGAGTTAGCCAGCAACTAACTCTCTAGAGATAATGGGCCAGGCAGTGTTTAAATGAATACAATTTTTGTGTTGTTATTTCTGGGGCTAAGCTAGCTGTGCAGGAACCGGGAGGGATGAAAAGCAGGCCTGCCCGCATTCTGTTGACACTTTCCCTAGATGAGCCACGGGAAACACAGAGCTTGAATTATTACTAGTAAAGCAACAGGGAAGACTCAATGCAGTAGAAGGAAACCCAACAGCAAAAAAATTCAATTCAGAAAAAAAGTAGAGAAGAAAGAAAAAACAGAAAGCAAATATGGAAGGTTTAACACAGCAG